CTGATCTGTTTCATGTTGCTGCTGATCTGTTTCATGTTGCTGCTGATGTGTTTCATGTTGCTGTTGATCTGTTTCATGTTGCTGCTGATCTGTTTCATGTTGCTGCTGATAAGTTTCATGTTGCTGCTGCTCAGTTTCATGTTGCTGCTGATCTGCTTCATGTTGCTACTGATCTGTTTCATGTTACTGCTGATCTGTTTCATGTTGCTGCTGATGTGTTTCATGTTGCTGTTGATCTGTTTCATGTTGCTGCTGATTGTTTCATGTTGCTGCTGATCGGTTTCATGTTGCTGCTGATCTGTTTCATGTAGCTGCTGATCTGTTTCATGTTGCTGCTGATCTGTTTCATGTTGCTGCTGATCTGTTTCATGTTGCTGCTGACCTGTTTCATGTTGCTACTGATCTGTTTCATGTTGCTGCTGATCTGCTTCATGTTGCTGCTGATCAGTTTCATGTTGCTGCTGATCTGTTTCATGTTGCTACTTATCTGTTTCATGTTGCTGCTGATCTGTTTCATGTTGCTGCTGATCTGTTTCATGTTGCTACTGATCTGTTTCATGTTCCTGCTCATCTGTTCACACAGACTCATATTCGTGCTGCTGTTCAACATAATGTTTTTATGCTGTTAGTCCTTGGTGTATCTTTAGCTGATGTTTTTCTTAGTTCATATCTTTGATCTTATCACTGTTTATATTTTCTTGTTGGATGTAACTGGACCCTGTGGACATCATCTCGTTCCACCACATGGGGTGCAAATGACAAATAAAGAACCTTGAATCCTTGAATCTAGCGCAGGGTGTCAAACTCGTTTTCATTTTGGGCCAACATTGTAACCCGTCTCTGAGTCAGTGTATTGTACCCACCATACCATACCAACTTTATTTATAAAGCACCTTAAAACAACCATAGCTGACACAAAGTGCTGTACATTAAAACACAACATAATAAAAGTGGAAATAAAAACAGTTTAAAAACAGAAAACATACAATTTAAAACTAGATCCTGCTGGTGTTAAAAGCCAAGTTGAATAAATGAGTTTTAAGACGAACTTTAAAAATGGACAGTGAAGGGGAACCATCTTCAAGACCTCAACTGTTGTCCCCATCCCAAAGATCTCTGCAGCATCCTGCCTTAAGGACTTCCAGTCCATATCACATCTGTCATGAAGTGCTTTGAGCAAATTATCAAAACTCACATCTGTGCCTCCCTCCCTGACACCCTGGACCCCCTACAGTTCAGAGCAAACAGGTCTACAGATGGTGCCATTGCTTTAGCAGGTCACACCTCCCTCAGCCATCTGGAGAAGGTAAACACCTACGTGAGAATGCTCTTCATTGACTACAGCTCAGCATTCAACACCATAATCTCCTCCAAGTTGGTCTCCAAGCTCACCACACTGGGACTGGAGAAGTCCATCTGCTGCTGGATACTGGACTTCCTCACCAACAGACCACAGGCAGTGAGAATCTGCAGTCACCTCTCCTCCACACTAGTCCTCAGCACCGGTACACCTCAGGGCTGTGTCCTCAGTCCACTCCTGTATTCACTTTTTACACATGACTGTACTGCCAAGCACAGCTGTAACGTCATCCTCAAGTATGCTGATGACACCTCCATCCTGGGCCTCATCACCAACAACGACAAGAACAGAGATGAGGTGAAATCACTGACCAGCTGGTGTCAGGAAAATAACCTCTCTCTAAATGTCAGCAAAACAAAGGAGATGATAGTGGACTTCAGGAAACAGAGTGGAGGTCAGCACGCCACCATCTACATAAACAATGCTGAGGTGGAGCAGGTCAGCAGCTTCAAGTTCCTCGGCGTTCACATTACTGAGGATCTGTCCTGGACTTTACATACAGACACTGTGGTCAAGGAAGTCCAACCATCATGTGTTTTGGAGAAGGAAACGTTCTCCTTGATAGACAGCGGTCCTCACCTGCTCTGTCCTGTCTAGATCTGAGAGGAAAGATTCAGCTGGGTCAACTGGTGGAGCTGATGATCTGCGGTGTGCACGGGGCTCTGACGTGACGCCTCTGAGGAAGAGACAAAAGAAAGACAATGACTAAATAATAAAGACACAAAAGGACAGAACATTTGACTTTTGTACATAATTATTAATCTCAGAATGCTCTGCAGCAATCTGAGGGATTATAAAAGATGCTGTACTGTTACAGGTAGATCAGCAGTGGCTGCAGACACAGATGAGACGGAGCTGGAACACAACAATAATAACAATAATAACAATATTATCAACAACAACAATTTATTTATAAATCCCTTTAAAACAACCACAGCTGCCACAAAGTGCTGTACACATAAAATCAAGAACATTTAAACACATAAAACAGTTGTTAAAACATTAAGATCAATAAAAGTAATAAAAACTGTGCAGAATAAATTCAGTGTGTGCTAAAAGCCAGGGAGTAAAAATGTGTTTTTAAAAGAGTTTTAAAACTGGACAGTGAAGGAGCTCGTCTGATGGGAAGAGGGAGATCGTTCCACAGTCTTGGAGCAGCAACAGAAAAAGCTCTGTCCCCTCTGAGCCTCCGCTTGGACCTCGGCACCTCCAGGAGCAGCTGATCAGCTGATCTGAGGCACCGAGCAGGAGAGTATGGGTGAAGCAGCTCAGAGAGGTAGGATGGAGCAAGACCATTTAAACTTTTAAATCTTAAAATGAACTGTAAAATGAACAGGCAGCCAGTGGAGTGAAGCCAGAGTGGGGGTGACGTGGCAGGAAGAGACCTGATGATGGATGGATGGATGGATGGATGGATGGATGGATGGATGTGGATGGATGGATGGATGGATGGATGGATGGATGGATGGATGGATGGATGGATGGATGGATGGATGGATGGATGGATGGATGGATGGATGGAGGGGTGGATGGAGAGGTGG